TATGGTTCTTAATTTGTAATGAATCGGCCCCTTCTTTTGGAATAAGTATAATATAAGCTTCTGACCATGTTTTGGGTATTTTCTTATTTAACATGACTTCATTCATAACTTCTAACAGTGGAGTGCTCAACGATTCTTGTAATGTTTTATAAAATTCTGCCGGGAGCCCATCTGGGCCTGGAAGCACCCCCATTTTCGGGATTCATCGTTTTCCTCTGATTTGTTTAAAATATGTAGCCATCCATCTTATAACAAACTCTGGCTGGCTCCCAATCAATAATTAACTTTAAAACCAGGGGTGGGATTCAAATTTTGTGACAACCGGTTCTGTGGGTGTGGCTTAGTTGTTGGGTGTGGCTTGGTCATGTTATTGGCTGGGTGTGGCCAACTCAATATAATTCACATCGAGGCACAGTGTGAAAAATGTTCATGTCACTTTTTTCAGTGGCATTGTAACTTTGAATGGTCACTCCACACAAGCAAAGTACCAGCAAAGGAGGGGAAAAAAAACTCCAGAGAAATTCCTGAGACAGGAAGTCTAGTCCTGCCAAGAATGTAATAAGGATTAACGGAGAGGCAGTTTCTGTAAGCAACACCAGAATGTTTCCTTCCTGCCTTCCTTACAGGATTAGGCCAGTAATTTCTTCTAACAATCGGTTCTCTGAACTGCTTAGAATGTTAATTGGTTCTAGTGAATAGGTGCGAACTGGTAGAATCCCACTCCTGTTTAAAACCATATTAAAACCAAATGGGTATAAACAAAAACCTTATTTCAATTCAAGCTTGATATGCAGTCCTCTCTTATTAACCCAGTGCTCAGAGGAAAAGCTAGAGCTTCCTTCCTTTATGGAAGACCAGGAGGATAAAGGCCTGCCAAACTTCAGGGGGGAAATTGTCTTATAGGCCAAGGTCTGCAATGGACAAGGCTCACTTCCTAGCTCCTATCAGATGGCAATATTTAAGGTAAGAGGCTAGGAGCGTGCCAACCCTATCTGACCTGGTAGAACAGATAGATGCAAAAACAAAACTGGGAAAATAATGACAGGTGGCCTGTTGGCTCTGACTGTGGTCTTGCTAGTTGACTCTGCCCACAGCCTGGAAGTCGATTCTGATGGAGCTCGGGGTTGACTCAGAAGGCTCCATCCTTCTGAGATCAGTAAAATGGGGACCCAGATTGTTGGAAATATGGTGACACTGTAAACTGCTTAGAGATCACGTGACCATGGGGATGCTGCAATGGTGGTAAGTGTGAAAAATGGCCCAAAGTCAGCCATTGCCAAACTTTCCATTGCTAAGCAGAGCTGGGGCACCAATAGGAAATAGGGTAATGTTAGCTTAAACATGGAAGTAAAGAAAATAAAATCCCAGCCGAGACACGGGATCAAGCTTCATTCTTACAGTTTTGATAAGGTTGCAGAGACAAGTTTTGAGGAGTTATCCTGCACTCCTCTACTCCTAGCAGAATACTTTATGCCACCAGACTTGAAATTTTAGACCTAGACAACCTAGAACTACGCCGCCTTCAGTCCGATCTAAGTATAGTACATAAAATTATCCACTGCAATGTCCTACCTGTCAGTGACTACTTCAGCTTCAGCCACAACAATACAAGAGCACACAATAGATACAAACTCAAGGTAAACTGCACCAAACTTGATTGCAGGAAATACGACTTCAGCAACAGAGTGGTCAATGCCTGGATTATTCTACCTGACTCTGTGGTTTCTTCCCTAAACCCCCAAAACCTTAACCTTAGACTGTCTACTATTGACCTCACCCCTTTCCTAAGAGGTCTGTAGGGGACGTGCATAAGCGCACCGATGTGCCTACCGTCCCTGTCCTATTGTTTCTTTTTTTATTCGTATCAATTTCATGTATTCATAACGATGATTACCTGTTATCTAATACTTGCTTGACAAATAAATAAATAAATAAACACCCCAAAAGGGAAAACTAGAACCAAGGGAGGTGCACTTTCTCCCTTCTAACTTGCAGATCATTTCTAGTCCTCATCCCCTCCCAAAAGGTGCTTTCCTTTGGTTTAGTTTTCTGTCAAAGGAAGCTTCGGGCTCAGCTCCAGGGACAAGGAATGCCGTCTTTGGGGGACCTAAAAGAAAAAGGTTTTCTCCTCGGGGAGAAAAGCTGCCGATGAGCTCAATGGGAGTCAAATAGGACTTGATGGCACTTAAGGAAGATCGGAAAGAGTCAGAACATCTTCAAACGCCTTACGGTAGAACGATCGTGTTCTTCAGCCTTCCGTCGCTAGATGGCGCGCTACAGTGAATCAACATTCGCGCCCACAAAGCGGCGGCAAAGCTATTCTAGGGAAGGGGCAGAGGCTGAGATTGAACGGGTTGAAACGATAGAGTAGTGGATTGCTAGAAAGGATTTTGCAAGCGGGCAGAGGAACTTCTTGTTGAGCTTGACCCACGGGAGGCCTCTGGTGGAGCCTCTTGTGCTGCTTGGAGGGTCGAAGCGGCTTCTGGGAGGTGAGTGGAGGTCAGGTCGGAGGAGACGCCGGGAGCAAATCGGGCCCTTTGGGTTCCTCCATGGCCTGGAAGCAGCGAAGGGACAGGAATGAAACATGCAGGCTGCTGCTGCTGCAAAGACTTTCTCTCCCCAAATATTTCTGTCCTTTAGTTGCACGATTTAAAACTGCAGCCGGAGATTTTCTCCTTGCAGATTTGGGAGATTAAAAAAAATATTTATTTTGTTTCTGAACCAACAACCTCCCTCACCGTTCACGTAACACTTGATTCCTTGTGATTTTATTGACATGTTGTTTTCCTGCCAAGGGAGGAGTTTTATGGGCAAAACGGATCTTTTAAATTTTGCATAGGATTTGGTCACTAAGTCATCTGTTAGTGTCCCCACCTTTCTTAAATTAGATCAAAAATATGAGCAAATGCACTTCTGAGACATTTTGCACATAGATTGTCATTTTGTTGTGCCATATCCATCATCGGATGTTGGCAATCATGTCAACAGCTGCATGAAAAAGTGCTGTTGAGTTTTGTCCAAACCAGTCCCTTAGATTTTAAAGCCACAATGTTCTTCTTCTGCCTTCAACCTTTTCCCTGAGGATTAAGTGAAATATGCCGTATTTTTCCCACTGTCATATCTCATGTCCAAAATACTGTATTCTAACTTTCTCTTTTTTATGGTTTTCATTATTTCTCTTGGCTTTCCTTAGTGGCTTATCACCTCCTCGTTTCTGATTTTGTCAACCCAGCTTATAAGTTTCAGCCATCTGGAAATCCACATTTCAAATGCTTCTAGTCTCTTCCAGTGGCTTTCTGTCAGAGACCAACTCTCTACTCCGTAGAGCAGGATAGAAAAGATGTAACATCTCACAAGCCTGATTTTCAATTATGTCGTGATTGCAGAAGACCTTTTTCATTTTGAAGAATGCTGTTCGAGCTCTCTCTATCCTTGTCTACATACATAAAATTGTAGGTGTATTTCTGTGTGCCTGTGCATGCGTACGTAAGTGATTAGCCAAGCCAAAAATTTACCCTGTAATGGTATATCCTGCTCCTGCTTCAGCAGGGGGCTGGACTAGAAGGCCTTTTAGGTCCCTTCCAACTCTTTTCTGACTGATTGATTAATTGATTGGATTGATTGAAAAAGAATCTTATGATCAAGTCAATATTTGAACTTAGATCTTGCTCGTCTTCTATATGCCAAATGAATCATAATATTAGATGTCAAACTAGAATTTTGGTGTTTGATTTTTCATGCTAACATATATCGGGCTTTTCCCTGCTTTCACAGGTCCTGCAGCCACTTTTTAAACAATCATGAAACTAACCCATTAATGTGAATCTTACAAACAAAGAGGGTGCCAAGAAGAGCACTCTGGAGAACAGAGATTGAGAAGCAGCATTAAAATCCAAAATGAACCATCAGTCAAAATCTTTTTTCAATTCCACTTGAAAGTGTAAAAAGTCTTCTTCCTCAGAAAATGAGAGATAAGGAGAGAATAACAAGAACAAAGTTTTGAATTGGGAAAAATAGACTATATGGAACTCAAGAAGACATCACATGAGCAGTCTAAGAGGAAAATGTCCAAATAAAAAGTGGGAAACACCTGAAAGTCAGTGGGAAGAAAAAGGTGCAGATGGCCAAAATAGGCATGTATTAATGAAAGCCTTTGACGAAGGAAAGAGTGGCTTGAATCAAAGAACCTCCAAGTAAGTGATCGGAAATATTTTTGGTCTTCTCAAGAATCCAAGAATATCAGTGTTGGAAAACTCCCAGAGCCTGCCTATTGTGAGAAAAACACAATTGCAGATCACAACTGATTATACACAATAGGATGCGCTCAGTGAAAAGCCACACGAATGTTTGGAGTGCAACAAAAACTTTACTCAGAAAGCCTTCCTCATAATTCATGGATGGACCCATATAGATCCGAAACTCTACCAATGCTTCGAATGCGACAAAAGATTAAGCATGAACACCAATGTAGTGAGATACAAGAGTCACACTGGGGAAAAACTCTTTGAATGTCCTGATTGTGGGAAAAGTTTCTCTCGGAATTCTGACCTGGTGATACATAAGAGGACTCACATGGGAGAGAAACGATATGAATGTCTGGATTGTGGAATAGATCTTGTAATCCAAACCAAGCAGGGGACCCTATATTTTCAAAGGCTCTATAAGGGAGTACTCACAACTTCAGAAGGCGAGCCTGTCCCTTTGGTAGATTGTTCTGTCAGAAAATGTCCCCTTATTTCTAGTTTGAATCTCTCCCATCAGTTTCTGCCCATTGTTCCTTGTCTGGCGTTCGCGTGCTTTGGAAAATAGTTTGTCCCCCTCCTCTCTGTGGCAGCTCCTCAAATACCAGAAGACTGCTAATCATGTCACAACTCATTCTTGTCTTCCCTAGACTAGCCATGCCCAGTTTCTGTAATTGTTCTTCATATATTTTAGTCTGCAAGTCTCTAATCTGAGCTTCCTTTCTCTG